AATCTAAAATCAATTATTGTAGGCATCCTGACGTTATAACATATAGTATTAAAATGGGTAAATGTTTTAAAGATGACATTTAGCAGATATTCAGCAAAAAAATTGATGTTGGATTTACTTTGAACATATATCTATTACATTTTATTCAGTGTGTTATGTGCCGTTTGTCGAATGATTTTTTTTCTCTAAATTTGCTATTATATTTCACAAATAATTACGAAGGAACTGTAAGTAACACAAACAGAAAGACTGAAATTGTATTTTCTTGTAAAACATACTCTAATAATCTTGTTTTATTTACAGCTTCAAAAAAATATATATATTTTTTTTTTTTTACAGTGAACGAGAGAGCAAACATTGGCCATTTTACCGCATGTTTTGGTGTCTTCACCACTCCAGCCTAAGATTCACAGTCATGCCTTTAACTCAGATAAAGCCAAAAGGCCTAATGGTCCCCCAGAGATCTAATGCCCTAGATATGCCTTCCGCCCCATTTCTGCCGGAGCAAGAACCCTAAATCAATGCTATTGAGAAACCAATTAATCACTTTTCCAGCTGGGTCAATAATTTTAATCTAAAACGGCAGTGTCCTGAGACTGACCTTCTTGACAAGTGTCCAGGGGTTGTTTATCAATAAATTAGACTGTAGCTTGATGCTTTCTGGGCTAATTTATTTTATTTTTCGGCTAATCTAAATCCCCGTTTGAGCCAGAACAAGGCAAACAAAACTGATCCCAGACTTGCACATTTAGCTCACAAATACATGACGCATTTACAGGTATGGAACAGAGCGACCTGAGCGGACATGTCTATTAAGCATCTATTCTAAGAATAGGATACACACACGAGTCCTGAATGAATAATGGAGAGGGCCCTCCCCAAAAGGGTCTTGCCCCTATTTTGATAGCTCCGCCCCACATATACGTACGCAACCCAAAGTTTTCAAGCGAATCAAGTGTTTTTGAAAAATCACATACCCTGCCTTTAATAGGAATAGCAATCCAGTAGTTCTTCAACTACTAATTGGCTGGTTACTGAGGTGGACTAGTTGTTGTTGTTGTATATATATGTTGTATATATATATATGTGGTCAATTTAAATGGACTCACTAATCACAAACGAATATGAAATAGGATAATTTGTTTAGCATTTGTCGGAACTGGCTGTTCAGTACATCAGTGGGATTTTCATTCTATCCAAATGTAACATTTGCTTAGCCTACTAGCATGCTGCCCACGTCCAGATGGTCTGCAGTGCGGCCCAATAAGCTGGATCACACAAGTGTTTCCCAGAGATCCTGTGTACCTATTAGTGGCTCCCCATGTTCTGTTCTTATATAAACCCTCTGTTCCATTTTATTTTGTTGTTGCCTGGTTTGAAATGAACATTTCTGAATCAACAGCTTACCTGTAAGGCACTCTACATCCTTAAAAATTTAACCTTTCCATAAATACATCATACAATAATCAAAATAATTAGTCTTTTCTGGGCTGAATACAAAGGTTTTGGGTAAGGAGAACGTGAGGCACCTGTGAAATCTTAACAAACATCTCACATATGTTTGGGGCTCTCACTTAAGAAAGAAATACAGTATATAAACATACCATGGCTGTTTTGCTGTAAATTTTTTAAACCACATGCCAATGTTAAATCACCTGTGTAGTAATACTGCTCCACACGACGAGAATGAAGTTTTAAAAGCTGAAGTCGTCTCTCACGATGAATGTCCCCGACCCGTAGAAACCCGCTAGTCTCGTGACCTGAAGAAATTCGCGCTTTTAAGAACGGCGGGAAACCCCTCGGTGATTGAATCATGCGCCTCTTGTTTTGGCCAACAGAGGGAGACATTTGTAATGGTTTCAGTGATAAGTTATTGAACAGAATGTCGTCTGGCACAGGGATTTTTCCCCAAGATGGAAATTTATTTTCAAAACGAGCTAATATATCTTAATATGTCTTTACTAGAGGTTCGATTTCTTTCTTATTTGGTCAAAATTATGTCATACATACTATCTTCCAACTATCAACTATCTTCAGATCATTAATCACATTATATAGGCTAGATATAAAATATATATTAAACTTAAGAAAACAAACATTTTTGATAAAACATAAGATTTTCTGTCTGACTCTGGGGACAACCAATAGGAACTGAAAATCAGTTAGAAACCATTATCTATTAATTCATGCATTCATAGAAGATTGCTATAATATAATATACATCTGACACTATCTACCAGTGTTTGAGTGAGAGGCCAAGACAAAAGCATATATATTTTTTTAGAAAATGCAAAAAGTATGCCGATGCGATTACACCCAAACATGAACAAAAACATATAATTAATTAATTTGCACATAAATCAGTTTATTTTGTGCTAGTACTCAAGCGTCAGTGTACTGAAATATGGGAGATACAATATCTAACCACAAGGTGGCACTGTTATTACAATTATCACACTTATGGTGTGTGCTGATGTTTGGGTATGATAGAATAGAATAGAATAGAATAGAATAGAATAGCGTGTTATTGTCATTGTACAGCTGTACAACGAAATTTTATTGTGACACCTCATGTTATGCATAACTTTAGTGATAACTGACGCGTTTACTGAGAGCTCATAAGCTATATAATATTTTGTATAATTATTTGTATGGGCCTAAGGCAATTTGACTTTTGTTTATCTTGGTAGGCTAACATTTCACTTCACACGGTAGGTTAACATAGCCTAATTTCACAGGTAGCAAGATTTGACTGTGTTTGAATGGAAATATAATTTATGATGTTTTCGAAACCCAAAGGCCCTTTTAAGTAATTAGGTGTGTTTGATCTAGATATAGGCTACAAGGTCACATGCAAATAATTGGTGGAAATATGTCCAAGTTCTTATGTAAACAATAACTCGTAGTTTTAGGACTATAGATTTGCTAAAGACAATACGCCATGGCCTAGGGCAACAAAAGACAGGCTATCATATGTTAGCATTTTCACAGAAGCAATGAAATCCTGAGCCACCCACCTTAAGCTTACGGCAACATTCCAGCAACTGCAATTCATCTTTTGTGAATAAGAAATAACAGATATCAGTTACCAGATATCAGTAAACTGATCCGAGGCCAGTTAATAGTTGCTTTAATGATGCTATCATTGTTTAAAACAGCACACTGGAAACACATCTAAGATAAGCTAGCGAGCTATCATCATAATTACTGATTTCTTCCATAATTCAACAGAAATCTGACAAGTTGAAGGCCAAAAAGCAGCTCAAAGTTTGTGGGAAAGTAACAGATTTCAGCAGTTATTAGAAAGACTGTGGAAATGTATGCATGCGTACCAAGGGCGTTCTTAAAACTAGCCTCAAGAATCAATGACAATCGTTGAAATGTCTGGATGAAACAAAAATAACTCAAAATGACACACTTACAATGAAGAAAGGCTCCACCCCAAAGCTCTTATCATATAAATAAGACCGTAAATTCTTCAGGCAAGAACCCAATCAGTATATTCAATGAAACAAAAGACACCAACCCAATGTGAGTCATTATTGATTTTAATGACATTATGACATTTACAACTTCTGGAATCTCATTGAATAACATGTTGGCTGGGCATAACGGTACATTACCAGGACAAATTGGATGGGATAATTAAGGATTACGGAATATGTAGGGCAATGGTCTGAAATGGAACACTATTGACACACTTGGCAAAATTCAGCTCATTATTAGGAGTGAAATGAGCGAAAATCCATTGCAACACGTAACAAAACATTAATCACATAAATAGCAAGGCAAGAATAAGGAAACACTTGTTCAGTTTTTAGCCTGTTGAGCGGTACGGTCCCACATATGGGATTTTTACTTCTGTGCTCCTGGGAGTACGGTCCCACATATGGGATTTAGTGTTGGGTCGTTCTTGAACGATTCGTCCGTTTTGAACGAATCTTTAATGTGACTCGGGAAGAACGAGTCGTCTCGGGGAGTGATTCGTTCAGTCGCGCATGCGCAATGCCGCGGTGTGTCAAGTGACAAACATGACGCGTCGCCATGGAAACAATAAGGGGAAACGTTCTAAAATAACGGTCGCCTAAAAAAACTCACTCTGGGGGGACCGCTAGAATATTTTAAACTCACCAGTGAAAGGGCTAGAGTAGCTACTCCTTCCTCTGCCCAGCCTGATTAGGCAGGTGAGATAAAAAAATAAAAAACGGGTTCACTTCTTCCACCTGATAAATTTTACATTACCACTGGCCAACTTCTCTAATGGCAGTTTATTTAGTTCAGGTCAAGTTTTACCCGCAACTGCATCCAACCTAATTGAGCCCAAATAACATTGCTGTTGTGAGACGTGGACAACATTCTCTCACCAACAGACTGATTGTGACACAAAAGGTTTGATTGCAGTCAGACTATGAATGATAGTAGACCAACCCAGTCAATTCATGTACAATACCAGTCAAACGTTTTTACATATTTAACAGAATTTGAGTTGCAAGATCTTAAAAATGAAACTTTGAAAATGAAATGTTTTAAAACTGTGTAAACAAACACATTCTTTACAACAAATGTATATTATTATTAATAAATTATTTAAAGTGTATGAATCGAACATTTAATATTTAAGATATTATTCTTATTATTATAGATAAGGTTATTAAGATATTAACGAACTATATATTGTACAATTATTAGGTAATAATTCATGTATTAATTATTAATTAAGGTATTAATGTAAGGATTATTCAAACATTTAATATTTTAGAGATTATTATTCTTATTATTATATAATATTAACAAAATTATTAATATAATAACTAAGAATATCTAGTCAGCACACATGAACTCTGTCAATACTCTTTTAAAAAGCATCCCAGGATGCAACTCATGAAGATTTAATGAAATTCTTATTAAATTACAATTTCCTGACCTTATTAGTGGATCATGAATAACCAAACACGAACATCAATAAATATATTAATAATTTATTACTTCTATACTTGTACAAAAGGGGCATTTTTTATTCTTAGTAAACTTTGTTCATTTCACTTTAAGTGTGAACAACACAAGTACAGTGTCACATCAAGAGTATAAAATAAATAGGGATTTTTTTCTTGAGGCACATTTTCTGATTACTTTCCACTTCTGGTATAAATCTGGCAGATTTATACTGGTAAACAACACTGTTTTGTCCCCGAACACCTGCAATCATGTGACTGGTGCACAGGGAGTGATGTAATTGTAAATGAACATGCATTGAACTTAGTCCTGTTTATACACATAAACAAATATATTTAATGTAATGTATAAATATGCACTGCAAAATGGTTTAAAATCGATTAAGGTTTAATACTTTAGCAGAAAGAACATTACTGATTTTTTTTTTTCTAACAATGTTTTAATGAAATAAAATGAGAACTTTTGAGCCCTCTCATTTATAAGCCCATTGTACAGAATACATTCATACAGAATACAACCTCTTCTGATGGTGAGGTATGTGAAGCATACTAACAATCACATTCAGGCTCAAGGCACTGTATTACAAACAATTTACATTGAAGCAGCTGTGATTTTCTTAAAACTTTTGACCAATAGGTGGCGCAGTCCTGAAACATCTCAAGTACCATAATGTCCCAATGATACAAAGTTTCATTTCACAATCCAACAGCACTGCCAACAGTTCCTGCTTGTCCTTACCTGACAGAGGGCTGGACTTTTCAATGCACCAAAAAAACACGATGTAGCATTATATCTGCCCTGATTTCAATAAACATACATTTTTGAAATCAAAATGAATGGCATCTAATACATTACTAATATCTTAAGAGCTTTACAAGTCATTTTCAGGCTTGATAAGTGACCTAATTTTAATACACTTACGCGCAAATACACTGAGTATAACACTGGATCTCAAATCCAGCCCATTTCGCACTGACTTGCTTCGTCAAATGCAAATTTAAAAAGGTGCAGTCACATTAGTCAAATTTTTCACTCAAATCACTTTCAAACCGAGCAGTTTTCGCCGAGCAGTTTTCGGTTGATAACTGCAGTGAATTGCAGGAAATCTTTCACACGCACACAAAATTCCTGATCACAGTAGCAAAATTTCGCAAGTCCATCGTGAACTGTCAATAGTAGCGCCATATAAAGCTCATTTTAAACCAAGCAGCTTACTTAATTTGCGTGAGAAGTCTTGAACCTGTTGCGAAGTCTGAAAATCTTTCGCCAAACAACAGTAAATGTGACTGCACCTTGAGACAAAAATCTGCGCAATAAAACAATAAACATAAAATTAACAAATATCATACAGAATAATGAAGTTGGCTATATCACTCATGCACTTTTGAAAAGCAATAAAATCAGAAGACATTTCAATAAAGGAATGCAAATATGTTGTGGCACATATTACACAGCGAAGACTCAAGGCAAAGTGGCGCGGGTGACGTTAAAACATACATATTTTAACATTATACAAGTAAACTTTACGCACAAACTTGTAATATATCCAGTAAACTCTTCCTTATCTCATTATGTACATTAATACATCTATGCACGGCTTTAAACAACATGAACAAATGTTTTCTTTCTATATTTGCCACTTTTTGCATCATGTTTACAGACATGCTGAAGAATAATAATTGCATCTCTATGAAGACAAACAAGCCACATTCAGACCTCAACACACTTGCTAAAAACAACTCAGCTTGTGTGCGTTTAGAAACGCCAAACACGCCGCAGGTTCACCTCAAAACCAGCATGCGGCTGGGATGTTTATATTGTGGACGGTCGGAGGAGCAGCAGGGAGTTTCAGGAAGTGCTACTTCTCTTCCTGGTTCGAGGTCTCCTCAGCATCCCCTCCTCCTCTTGATCGCTCTCGCACTCTCTTTCGAACATGGCCACCGTTCGACCTACGTAGCCCATCTTGGGTTTGTCCTGTAAATGATATTGAGATGCATTCCTGAAATGGGATTCGACCGATATACCAACATGACAGAATCTTGGGTAAGACATCAGAAGCACTCTAATTGTTTAATTGGTCATATTATTTGACGATTTGCCTGGAGACTCCTGGACGTACTACAGCCAGACAGTTATCTTTTTTGGAAATGATTAATGGAGTATAATTGAGCAGGGTCCATGAAATACCTGTGTTTTAGTGTGACCTTTCTTCATCATGCGTGTCAAGTGGTTGCAGAGGGCCACGATTCTGAAAGAAAGCTATTGGAATGCAGGGAGAAAGCTTAATTTTGGAACTTTTAGACTAAACACAGGTTCAAAAGTTTGGGGTCAGTAAGATTAAAAAAAAAAAAAAAAACAGGAAGAAATTAACTTTTTTGTTCAGCAAAGATGCATTAAATTGAACAAAATTGACAGAAAGAACATTTATAATGTTACAAAAATTTATATTTCAAATAAATGCAGTTCTTTGGCAATCAAAGAATCATGAAAAATGTCACGGATTCTACAAAAATATTAAGCAGCACAATTGTTTTCATTAGTGAAAATAAGAAATGTTTTATGAGCAGCAAATCAGCATATTAGAATGATTTCTGATGGATCATGTGACACTGAAGACTGGAGTAATGATGCTGAAAATTTAGCTGTGCATCACAGGAATAAAGTACATTTTAAAATATACTGAAATAGGAAACAGGTATTTTAAACTGTAATAATATTTAACTGTTACTGCTTTTTACTGTATTTCTGATACAGTAAATACAGTCTTGGTGAGCAAAAGAGACTTATATAAAAAAAAAAACTTAAAAAAATCTTACAGACCCTGAAGTGGTTTTGAATGACTGATAATGACCCTAAAACGCCACATTATTTCAACCCCATCATAGTATGACTGAAATGCATATGCTTATAATTTTAACAAATACATGAGTAAATTCAAGTAGTATCACAGTTTCCATGTTTCTTATAAATAAATTCACAAATTAAGTTGGAAAAAACTCAAATAACATTTCTGTCAACCCTGTTAAATTCAAAATGTTTTAGGGCTAAGCACTACAGGGCCGAATGGTACAATGTCTAATAACAGCTTTAGCTAGAAAATATCATTGCGTCAGGCCATATGACTCTATATATGGCCTGATGCCATATTCTGTATTCTTGTTCGCGTCCAAAAATGCTACCATAAGAGAACCCTCAAAAAGCCACTGTCCCACTCCCCATGTCCCAACAGAGTTGAACAGAAAGTGCAGGAAAACATATTAAAATTATCTGGAAGAATTCATTGGGGACACATATAGCACTATTTCCATAGGCATTTAGCATTTTGATGGCAAAGCGATGAACAAGTCCTACCTGCCACCTTCTCCGGGCATATTGTCTCCTGAAGTTCTCAATGTTCACCACAGATTGTCGTCGCACCAGGGCTTGTCTGGGGTTTACGGGCTAAAGGAAAAACAATCACAGTGTCATAACCGCTCAATACAATCTTTAGATTTCCCCAGTTTATCAACTACCAAGTGAAAAATCTTAAGTCTGATTGTTTATAAAATTAATAGCACACCTTTCCTCAATAAACCACATGATTTGAGATATCATATCTATAGCACAGACAGCGTTCACAATAGAGTCCTAGCCCTAAATATGAGCAATATTAAAAGTGATGCCTTAACACATAATTGCACAAGTTCCAAGAAACACACACCCCTGAGGGACTGAGCATAGTTCATCTCTTTCCATCCCACAATGCACCACAGCCAGCTGCAGGACTAATGATCAGTGTGAGGTATGTACTGTAATCATCATCATCCAGTGCTTTATTAAGTATGGAAAGAAATAACATCACTGTTTACGTCAAGCAGCATGCTGGCATGACGTGCTGAAGAAAAGGTCCAAGTGCTGATGTTCACAAATCAATACACATATAACAAATTATCAAAAAGCTTTTTGATCGAAATTAAAGTATAAAGTAACAGGAATATACACAGAATTACATGTGCAAGAAAGAAAAGTTAAATTAAAACTGGCAATGAGCATGTAGTGCTTTAAAGAGGTACATTCACAAATAAATTAGAGAACTTTTAAACTGCTTATAAGAAAGGAAAAGTTACAATTTATGGCCAAAATCATATTTATGGCATCTGTAAACAAAAGAAAAACAACCCATGCATAAAGATGGAATGAAATCATAAAGGCTGACATCATTTCAACTTATCACTATTACTGTTCAAAGAAAGAATGTTTTTGAAAGAAATGAAAGAAACACTGACAAGATCAACCATATTGATGAATATGGTGAATGCAAAAGAATGCTGTTGAATGCTGTAGTAGAGCACCAGCATGTGCATAATCTAATTATTTTGGTATAAAGTATATACAAAACAAGTTACAAATAAACAACACAATTTTAAACTCTGACTTTTGCAGATACAGCAAATTTAATTCCAAACATGTCTCAAAAGTGTCTCAAACTAATGTTCTGTTCTGAAGGTTAAGGTCTGCAAGCTGGGACTCGAACTCAGGATGCCCGAAGCGCAACAGCGCTATATGTTGGCGAGCTGCCCACAAGGCTATTGGCGCCAAGGCCATAGGCATTTTTAACCTTATCAGCCTAGCTTATGAATATTAATTAGGCTTCAGTAAAGGTCTTTAGAATTTAAAGGGAAAGTTCACCCAAATTCTGTCATTATTTACTTACCCTCATGCCATTTTAGACCTGTAAGGCTTTCTTTCTTCTGTAGAACACAAAAGAAGATATTTTGAAGAATGTTCGTAACCAAACATTCTTTGTTACGACTGGACAACAAAACACTGTGGCATTTCTCAAAAAATCATCTTTTGTATTCCTATACAGGCTTGGAATGACATGAGCATGAGTAAATGGGTGAAATATTCTTTTAAATAAATCTTTAAAGCTTTTAAAATATTACTATTGCCCAAAATGTTAAGGGACAAACAGAATTTTTTTTTTACAATGGTTAACATTGCTACTCTATCAGCCATGCCTCTGAATTCACATCCTGCTTCTAATTCATTGTATTGCAACTGCAGTTTAATCTCCACTAGCTAGACTCAGAGATGTCTGGCTGCGCTTGAGGACGTAGATCGCCACCACAGGCCCTGCTCAGGAGCTCCTTCAGGGCCTCGTTCACCTCATTGTTCAGAGCTGAAATGGATCCGAACCCCTTGTTCCCAGCCTCTCCGTTTAGTGACCCCATAACCTCCTGCAACCATCTGAGTTCTGCGTTCAGCTCCTGTCTGAGGGAGCTCAGGTGGGCTTCTCTAGTCAGGTAGCGACTGTCGATGCTGGCTAAGCTGTCGTCGGTTGTCCTCAAGTCCTCCTGGAGGCCTTTCCTCAACGCCTCCGCTTTACGAAACTCGTAGCGCACCTGTGAGAGCTCCTGCCGAATTCTTTCGCTTTCCTCTTTATACCAAGCTTCCTTCTCAATGTAGATGGAGAGAAGAGCCTCAACATCATCCTGAAGGGATTCACGCTTCTGAGCCACATTTTTGAGACCCATTTCCACCAACGAGATGTCCTCCAGAACATTGGCGAAACGCTCAAAGTTGACATAGGTGTTGTTGGGTGGCATGCTGGAGTGGGATTGAATGGTGTACTCTTTCAGGCGTTTGGTCTTCAGCTGCTGCGATTCCACTTGTGTTTGCACCTCTACGGTGGCACTGTTGTCCTCTGGCTGCTCATGGTTCTTCGCATAGAGAAATTAGGAGGAAGAACGAGTAAGAAGCTAGTTCGCTTTTTCACCAGGATGACAAAGCACTCAACTCTCGCACAAGTAAGCAGCAGATCCAGGCAGGAGGAGTTAATGCTGGTCTCGGGATGTTAGGATGAGGAGAACAGCATGGTACACACAGGATTCAGTCGTCGATTAGAAGAATTCATCAACATGCAATTGCTTCCATTATGAAGACTTGCATGCATACATGCATCTAGTAGTTGGCCAACAAGGTAATACCAGGATTTGCTGTTTGGATTTGGGATAGTTCACCCAAGAATGATACTTTTGGCATCATTTACTCACCCTTGTGTCATGTTAAGGAGTTTTAAGTCTTTTTAGGGATGTTTCAACTGTTTTTTCCGATTAAATGAAAGTTAACAGGGTCCAAGACAACATTGGACCCCACTGTATGGACAAAACTAAAACACTTCTTAAATATCTTCATCTGTTTTCCACCCCTGTTGAAAATAACAGCGTATGCTGGTTTAAGCTGGTCCTTAGTTGGTCATGAGCTGGTTTAAGCTCGTCCTGAGCTGGTTATAAGCTTATTATGAGCTTATTATGAGCTCCTGCTCAGGACCAGCTGTTAAACAGCTTATAACCATCTTAAACCAGCTCAAACCAGCTTCCATGCTTTAAAACATACCTAACCAGCATATGCTGGTTTTATCAACAGGGACAGAAGAAATAAAGAAAGTCATACAAGCTTGAAACACATGAGGGTGAGTAAATGACAACACTTTTTACTTTTGGGTGAACTTTGCCTATAATTTTATAATTCATGTAGAGTAGAGAGAGGCATATGTGATATTAAAGCTGCCATGTGTGTCTTAATGATGTGTGTAAAACCCGAGGTCAGTTCATTCTGTACAAACCAGCAGAGTAAAGTTCAACACTTGTGTATGGTATAATGGCAGTAAGAAGCATTAATTTCAAAAAAGCCACATAACAGTAGATAAACATGTTTTCAACTGTGCATGTTTCCGACTTAATCCAAGTGGTTACCTTAATCCAGGGGTGGTTGAGTGCGTCTTGTATTTTAAGCCTCTTTCTGCAAAGAAAACAAACACAAAGCAAACTGAAGGTAAATGCAAAAGAACAACTTCAAAACATCAAAAGACAAAGAAAACAGAGAAACTGAGAGAAATGTAAGGTAGAAACTTCATTTAGACATATATGTAGCAAGTCTACGCATGCCTTAATAAACACTTGATCTGTGAGACGTCATCGTAGAACATGACAGATACAGAATATTTAACGTATTAAATGTGGCAGTAATGAAAATTGCATGCTCATACCTGCCCAATAGTGTCAATTAAAAAGGCCAGTGACAGAATCCTATTGTTTTGATGTACAGTGGGTACGGAAAGTATTCAGACCCCCTTAAATTTTTCACTCTTTGTTATATTGCAGCCATTTGCTAAAATCATTTAAGTTCATTTTTTTTCCTCATTAATGTACACACAGCACCCCATATTGACAGAAAAACACAGAATTGTTGACATTTTTGCAATAAGAAAACTACATAAAACTGGGATTTCCTGTTTTTTCCATTTTAAAAGAATAACAAATCCCACTTAGACTCATTTGTTCCCCCCAAAAAGGCCCCAAAGTCTTGCTGAAGCCTTCACTGTTGTTCAGCTGAACCCTGATTTGACCTCTCACCTCGTATCTTTCACCAGCAGCTGTCTGATGAAGCTTTTGGCCAGTTCACTGGTGCTGCCGAAGAACTCCTCATCAAATTCAAAGTTCACTGCTGAGATGTTTGCAAGAGTTTCCTGCTTGGAGTCGCCCAGGAACGGCGATGCCCCACTTAATCTGAAACAGAAAGACAAATACTTGACCTATGTGGAAGCACATTGGAAATTCCTGTTAATTAATTCCTGAAACTGATCCGATAGTGGAATCCAAACACGTGCTCCCGTAGTTCATGTATCCGACAGCTGTTAAGTGCCATAATTATGTTCATACTGGCAATGGGTGTAACAGTATGGGTGCCGCTGTCTGACAGCCCAAGGCTCAACCTGTCCCTCATTATTCACGTTTATGGTTTATTGCTACATTCATGTTAATTCCATATTTATTTAATACCTGTCATTCATATTAATTTATCTGCTCAATATTTATTTATTTAAAAATTATTATTTAATAATACTTATTCAGTTTTTATTTAATAATACATATTTATTTATTAGTAATTCTTAGTTATTTGTTTAATAATACTTATTTAATAATACTTTTTAATAATTACATTTACAAAAAATAGTTATATATTTAATTATGAATATAATCATTAATTATAAATTACTGTATTTCAAAAACATTTTAAAAATCTCACTGACCCCAAACTTTTGAATGGCAGTGTCATTTTAAACTATTGCAACTGTAAACTATTCCATAAACTACTGCATTACAGGGCATTTAAAACTATTTTTATAATTGGATATTGTTTATTCTACTATATTTAAAATTTAGGTGATGTATATTTCAAATAAAGAAGTTGAGAGAGAAAATCATCTCAGTTCTACAAAATGATTGTCAGATTTATTAATCTAAACAAAAACGACCTACAAACTGAGCATAAACTGAGTATCTTGGGTGTGATCAGATATTAATAAATTAATAAAAAATAATGTTACACCCTTTATGGAAATGAACATTATTAGGAATAATAAAAGAATCCTGGTCATATTCACTTTGGCAATGGGTGCAGCATTATTGTGTCCCATTATGAGAACCTCTCATTCATTATTCACCAGTGTGCTTCATCAATACTTTTGTTCAGCATGTGACCTGTGTATGGAACTCAATGGAATCTATCAATCATTCTGTGGAATGTCTATGAATGTCTGGATGTCCTGTCAGAGAAGGAGGAATCCACATTCCTCCATTCATACTCACAGGATGTATGTGATGACTCCGATGCTCCTAGAGGAAACAGAGGGGTGGAAGAGAGCACATGGTTAAGCCATAGTCGAGTATTGACGCTTACTGTATGTAAAGTACAAAGCGTGATGTGCTTAAAAGAGTTCTCACCACATGTCCGCCTCTAATCCCAGAGGCTCATAGTTGACTATCTCTGGAGCTGAAAATAAACCAGGTTAGAGGCATCAGCTATACATTTCATTCATAACAACCATGTGAGATGTCCAAAGATGGTAGAGATTTTCAGCATCTGACACTTACTTTGCATTTTACTTCATGAACTGTTGAACTTACCAACAAATTCTGGAGTCCCAAAAATGTTTTTGAACTCCACTCCGTCCTTGATCCTATGCGCCAAACCAAAGTCGATAAGTTTAATCCGCGGCAGTTGGATATTGTTATCCAGCAGCATGATATTTTCAGGCTGAAAACCAAATACATTTCCAATTAAAATGTAATCAATTTACATTTCCATTGACATTATGAGTGTCACTGTATGACGGTATTGAGCTGGTCATTAATTATTCACAATTCTTGTTTATTACTACATTTGATTAAATTTCAAACGATTATGTGAACATGTGAACTGTTAATTTCATATTTATGTACTTGATTATCTGATTCATAATTTCAATTATTTGGTTGATATTTAATTTAAAATGTAATTTAAAATGTAATTTAATTTAATTTAATTTCCCCATGGAATGTTTGATATTTTTATAACTGGATATTGTTTGTTCTATATTATACATTTACATGATCTATAGTTCTAAAAAAACTAAATTCTACAATCAAGTGGGAAACACTTCAGTTCTATGCGACTAAATTGGGAGGAAAATGTAACTGAAATGAGAAAAAGTGAAATTGAAACATCTTGAGTTCACAAAACACATTGTAGTCTTGCAAACCATTTTTGTATTGTCCATGACAATGAAAACAGCGATGGAAATACAAGCTTTCTATTTTCAAGTTCATCTCAGCAAATGCTGCTTGTCATATGTGTGTCTGGCTAATCAACGTTAACCTCCACCTCAGCAGTTTGCATGCTGATGAAGTGGCTGAAGGTTTCATGTAATTCTGAGGGACGTTGCGTGGGACTCAACACCTGTTATGTTCCCATATTAATGCCTCTACATACTCAAGAGGTGAAAAGAGACATCCAGCTGACTTCAAGTGTGGAGGAGGACACACACCATGCTCCTGTAGGAATTGTGCCATGTCTAGGATGTACAAATACAGATTTGCCTCCTAATCAATGTGAAAAGAAAGGCGAGAAAACTATATATAGGCCTATGTTAGCGACCTATTTACTGGCTACTTGCGAAATCTCTGAATTTAGCTGATAGATAAAATAGCTACTTTTTAGAAACAATCTTTTTGTGATGGTGCGTTTTCTCAACCTATCAGTAAATATGTTTTGACTAAGAAAGTTATGCTATGCTAATATCTTTTTGAGTGTGAGACATAGCTGCGTCTCATTTTGGAGGCTGTGTCCTCTGGAAGTCGGAGCTTATCCAGTGACCTAATTAGTGGCTATATTAAATCTCATAATTTAGCTGTTAGCTAAAATAGTTATTTTCTTTTTTGAGGCAGGACATGTTTTGTTTACATAGGCTATCAGTTAGCATATGTTATTTTGAACATGAGAGTGTGTTATGCTAAGCTAAGCTAATATCTAGTGAGCTGGCTACTTCCCAAATCACTGAATTTAGCTGTTAGCTAAAATAACTTTTTCGTAAGCATAGAATGACAAGTTTTTGTTCAAATAGCAGTTAGCATATGTTTTGAGCAAGAGAGGGAGTTATGTTACGCTAATATCCAGTAACCTAATTAGTCAATGGCTACTTTCTAAATCTTTGTTAGCTAAATTAGCTATTTTTAGGAATGTTAATTGAAGTAAGCGAAATATAGTTATGAAAGTTCCCTGATAGCACACGTACATCACGGAGAAGTGTATTTGACATCTGCAAGACGTATTTTTTAGTGTTTGCTCATCTGCAATACGTCTGTTGGACGCTTCCTATCAGATGTCAACTAGACATATATTAGATGTCTTTAAGATTTTATGATTTGGAATGTATGTAAAACTGATATCTTATAGACATCTGTCAGATGTTTGTACACAGCAGATGCTTTCCAGATCAAGCGATCTTTAACAGTGTGCTATCTGGGTAATACCTTTGAGTGAGCCTATTCACAGATGAAAGTGAATATTCAGTAAGATAAATGCATTCATTTGAATGAACAGCTGTTTTTGTTTACATAGCAGCTAGCATATAAATACATTCGCGCCGAACATTCGTGTTTGTGTAAAAAGGCCTTCATGCTAAGCGAATATCCAGTGATATACTGCAATTAGTCACTGTTATGTCCTGACTAATAGGCTACCAATTATTTCAGCATGGTACGTTCTGTTTACATAGCAGTTAGCATGTGCTAACTGGAGCAAGAGAAGCAGTTAGCTAAAGTAATATCTTTTTAGTGTCTCCGGCTGGCCTTGTAGAGCTCAAGCGTGCGCTGGCGACTATGGAGATGCAGCACTTATAAAAACAGGATGGAGATTATGGCAGAGAACAGCGTGGGTGACATGTCTCATCATGTGCCGCTGATAACCTTGTGTTAGAATGTCTGGACCCAGGCCAGCCGGGACGAAAAACATGGGAATGGGGTGCAAACACACATACAATCTCAGCCCATGATGGGACGGTGTTCAGCACAGCGATTAGTTAGAGCTGTCATTAGGAGAGGAAGCTGTTTATAAGCTGAAAAGAGTGAAAGGAAGGAATTTCCAGACGGTTGACAGAAACAGGGTCATGTATGCATTCCCAAGAAACAGTACAATGGCAGGTCTTAGAAAAGTGAATAGCTATTTTGTCATACAAAGTTTCAGGTGTTGCCATGCAACAGACCCGATTGTTCTTCAGAAAAGGCCAATTCACCTCTGCTTGAGGAAGAGCTAAACTGTTGCCATGGTGACCATTATAGCTGTTTCTCGCCTCCACAACCAAGCCATTTATAGGAAGCTATACGACTGACTCCGGATCTCTCAGACAGGCGTGGACAAAACTTGTTTTGTACCTTCAGGTCAAAATGTACAATTTTCTTGGAGTGCAGGTACTGAACTCCGTTGAGGATCTGTTTGATGAATTCTGTGGCTTCCTCTTCACACAGCGACTCCTTCTGAGCCAGGAAGTCGAAGAGCTCGCCTCCTGAAACACTGAAAAATGACATTTCCACTGGTTAGAAGTGGTTTGCCTGTCTAACACGCAAACCAACAGACATATTCAAAGATGCAGTCATGCAGCCAACGTAAGAAGCTGACTTTAAATTTGCTGTGTCGGTTGTAATCAGTTGATGTCATAATAAAGCATTATTTATTAGACTAAAAAAAATTGTTTAAGAAATGTAAACAAATACTTATCTATTTAATATTTATCTGATTGACATTTACTTACTCATTTATCTGATTAATATCCATTTAGCTGCTTCATATTTATTTATTTTTCCCGGTGACATTTTCACTTTTTTTATAATTGGATATTGTATTGTATTAAATTATGTATATTTCTAATAAAGATGAGAAAAAAAATTCAAAGCATGAAAAATAGCTTAAAATACGTTTTGTTTGAAAAACATTTATTTATTTACTTATTTATCAGTGTATGTAGCCTATATAATATGCATTTAATTCATGTTTATTTATGTAGATACTTATTGACTTTAATTTATGTAATTATTATTTTATCCATCCATCCATCGCTGTGGCTTCTTTTTTTAATAATTGGATATCATATTGTATATTGTAATTGAATTATGTAAGTGATGTATATTTCTAATAAAGTTGGTTGAGAAAAAAACTACATTTTTGAAGCATTAATAAAATATTTATGTTTGATGAACTGATTTATTTATCAATGTAATATTTATATATTACATAATATTTTTATACAATATGCATTTAATTCATGTTTACTTATCTAACTTGACTGATTATTTGATTAATATTTATTTTTTCATACATTTATACTATTACTTTTACTTATACTATTACTATACTATTACTACTAATAATCACTTATCTGTTTTTAATGTATGTTCATTCATTCATTCATTCATTCATCCCTTCATCCCTGTGGCTATTTTTATAATTGGACATTATTTGTATATTGCAATTTAATTATTTGAATATTTCTAATAAAGCATATTTCTAATAAAGCTGAGGAAAAAATCCTCAGTCCTACGATCATTGTTAAAATCTATTTATTAATCTAAACAAAAATGGCCTCCTGACAGAGTGCACGCAGTATATCTCACACATGCAGAGAGGTTCATCTCAATAACATAGACTAGTAAACTTCCTCTGTGACATTTAACCACAGCAGCTCTTAAAATGGCTTAGTACAGCTCTTTTTATCATTAGCATCAAACCACTTTATCGTAGCTCTGCAGAAATCTCTTTCCCATACACTCACAGAGATTTCAGTAGTCACATATCAGCACAGCTGAACAAGTACACTATGTCTCCTTTTTGAAGCCCGAGTATTTAATCCAGAAAGATCACTTAAAATGCAGAGCAGCTGACAGTCACAGACAGTCCATTCAGTCACAGTTCTGATTGGATTCAGGCCACAATTAGCCCTAATTGAGCTTCTACGCTCCCATGCACACATTACAGTCATGGTAAACCTGAGCCGGGCCTCCCAGCAACTCTAGAGCACTGACATTTACTACAGCTTCCCCAACACATTCAGAGAATGACAAACACACAGGCCGTGGAAGTTTAAACTGCTCCCATTCCATAGCACAAGGGGTCATGAGTAATATTAGCCATAAAAGTATGGAAATCCAGTGGAAGTAATATGCTATCTTGGCACCTTTGGCATAATGTTTACAATGTACAATGATTTGGGACACACTAATCCTGATGCCACATACTATTTAGGATGGAGAATATGTGAATTGGGATGCAGACTGCACCATGCAGCCATTTTTTTGTCCTCTAATGCACCTGATCCAATGAATCAGATGTTTGTTATGTTTAATGGTAGCTGAAACAGCTGTTATAGTTCAGGACTAGATGGTAAGCCTTCTTTCGAGAAAGTCTTAAGAGACTGAAGTAGAGAACTACTGGTTCAAACAGCAGTGAGTAAGAGCTCTTGGAAGAGGGCGGCAGGCATTAGTCAACTAAAGAGCAATGTCATTTGAGGACTCGCACTTGAAATAAAGCAGTAGCTCGCATTGATTTGAATGTACAACCTAGTTTGTTATAGTTTTAATGGATTTCCTATCACATTTCTGAAAATGGCCTTCAAATTCAGCTGATATTTTGATGGATTTTTCATTTACTGTACATTAAGAAATCTTAAAGGTGCGGTAATAAAAACAGCCTTTTCTAGTTCTAAGGATCAGAGATATATGGAAGCTTGTTTCAGTCACTGAATAAAAAATAAAAAGGTAATTGCAACTTTTTATCTCTAAATTCTGACTTTTTACTCACAATTGCAAATTTATATATCACACTTCTGACTTTTTTCTTGCAATTACAAGTTATGAAGCCAGAATTGTTAGATATAAACTAGCAGTTGTAATAAAATGACAGAATTGTGAGCTGACTTTTTGTATTTTTTCAGAATTAGACTTTATAACTCACAATTGTGCAGGATATAAACTTGTAATCGCGAGAAAAAAAGTCAGAATTGCAAGACATAAACTCACAAATGTGAGAAAAAAATCCAGAAATGCAATTCTGACTTTATTTCTGACAATTGCGAGTTTATATCCTGCAATTATGGCTTTGTAACTCGCAATTTATATCACCGTTTTGACATTATGACTCACAAATTCAAGTTTATATCTCGCAATTTTGAGTAAAAAAAGTCAAAATTCTGAGTTTATATCTTGCAATTCTATGTTTATATATTTCTCAGATATATATTTCTTTGTATCTAGATATATTTCTCAGAATTGCAAAGAAAAAAAGTAAGAATTTTGAGATATAAACTCGCAATTGCGAGAAAAAAGTCATAATTACGAGATAAATTATAAAATTCTGAATTGCAATTGACCATTTGCAAGGAGCTTGACTGACAGGCGATCTGACCAATCAGAAAGTGGATATTATGTGCCGCCGCTGCTATCCGCCATCTTGCCTGACATCTACGGCCGGTCTCCATAAAAATCCATGTTAAAATGGGGAAAAAAAAAGATAGACTGAATTGAAACTTTTTCAATATAAATATATAGTTTAGTCATGAAACTCTAGATGGCGCAGGCTGATGTTTGTTAACTTAACTGATGATATTCAGAGAGTTAAACGACTTGGCACAAGCCGATTGGTTCATGCTGCATATGCAGCCAGTGAGCTTACTGCCTTGCATTTATATGGCTGGCTAGCATTCACTAGAGATTCATGCAGCGCGCTTTCAGAGTTTCTCAACCCTCCCCCTTCATGTATATATATATATATATATATGTTTATAATAGATATATATCTTATCTATTTTTTATGCCATGTTGGAAACAGGCTTTCATAGAGATAAAATGGAAGTGGTTGAGTAAAAACTAAATTAAATTGTCTCTTTTTATTGACATAAAGCCTTGAATTTGGCTTAGGGAAGCAGATGAAAAGGTTCAGGATATGGCCCCTATAGAGTGAGGACATCTGTGTGAGTGGGTAATTGTAGCTCTCACAAACGGTGTAGAAGGATGAGTTCTCACTCACAGCTCCAGGATGAGCACCACGTCAGTGCGGTTCTCGTAAACGTCGTGCAACGTGATGATGTTGGGATGCTGGAGATCCTGTAGGATGTCCACCTCTCTCTCGATCTCCTCTCGCCGAACGCCTCTCCGGCTCGCCCGACTCTGCCGCTTCTTTATGAACTTTGCAGCATATTCCACACCCGTACTCTTCTCTTTACAGTGCTTCACGATAGCAAACTGCCCACTGAGTAAGAGAGAGAGAGAGAGACAGAAAAACATTAATTTCTTCTGTCTAATAAGCCAGATGATGAATGATCTGAGTAATCACATTTAACATGCATCTCCCCAGGATATGGTTAATAACGCAATAGCAGAAAAAGCTGCCACATTGTATCTGTCAGTTTTTTAGGATTAAAACATTCCAGGGGATTAAAGCATTTTCTAGTTTCTTCAAACAAATTTGGTTGAGAAAATTATCGACTGCACAAGAATAAAACCAAACGAACATTCGGAACAATGTATAAACCATTCATTTATATAAAGTGACAGTGCTCAAAACCCACACTAGCAAATTTAGTTTTAGTAGAAGCCAGTGCTTTCTTTTTTCTCCCTTGAACTCACTGTGAGCTCATATAGATCTTTATATGTGATGTAAATGTTTATGTAACAACAAAATGCATGAATTGTGAAGGAAGGTAGTGCCTCCACATCACTATGACTGGCTGATATATGAATGAATAAATGAATAGATATTGACTTTTAAATGGATCAAACCGGTGGAAATTTGGCACTAATGTTTTATTTTTTGTTTCGCTTTTGGGTATATCTTAATTTTAAAATCAAACTGAAACAAATTTTAATCTGATATGTAGATTAAACACAATTTGGTTAAATTAATATGCACATTTGGGTCTGCAACTGTTAATACATTTGCGTTGTTTACCCATAAATGTGTTATTTTGCTGCATGTGTTTGTTTTTTTATATTTGACAATTTTTTTTACAATAATTCACAATAATTTAATAGTAACAAAACATTATTAATTAAACAATTAAAAGTAGCAACAACATTTTATCTGTTAGTTCAAACTCTATATGTAAATTGTATTCAATAAATTCTATTTTTTTTTTTTATTTTAAAATTGCAATTGCAAAATAAGTTAAAATGCTGTTTTATATGCATTATATGTTTTTTATGCCTTTTATATGCCTGAACATGAATTTACACACAAAAAACAAACAAACCCACAGAGTGCACTTCTTCATCGCATAAGTTGACCACATACCACTGAGACATAGTTTCTTTAAAAACATTAGATGCTTAATTTCCTTAAAATGTAAACAGAAATGCTTGAAATCCTTCAACACCAACTGGCAGTAACATTAGAAACAAGAGAAAATACTTAACTGGAGCCAAATGAGTGTCGGTCTAAGTATGGTCTCTATACGCTCTATTTAGCTCTATAAGCTGCATCGTGTGCAACATAAATCATCACATGTTGCAGTTTAATTACAGAGACTCTTTTTATCAAGGGTACATGCAACTAACATCACAAGTACATTAACATATGCACGCCCACATTCACATATCAATGCATATTCAGTATTTAGTAACTTGGCATAGCTTTGCTTTTAGCCTGTGAAACCCATTGGGTTTGTGCTGTTGAACTGAACAATCAATTATGTGTTGGATCTTTAATGCTGAAATATGTCTACAAGGATGGTTTGTACTCGAGCTCCCTATAGAATCTTGGAACAGAACGTTTCTTGCATAGCGAAAGCCTGAGAGGAAATCCTGCCGCAGGGAAGTGCGTGCCAACTGGGGTCACAGTGTGGGAGGAAAACGCTCTCAGAGAGGAGAGAGACAGAAAAGAGGAATGCCACCCACCCACCACTTCTGTGTCAAAGACGCTTTTGCTTCCTCACACACGCTTTGAACATTTCAAACAATATCTCCCGAGTCGACACATGCTGCTCATGTTATTTGTTGGTTTGTGTAGACAGTGGGTAGAAAGGATACATTAAAGTAGGGATGCACAGATACTGATTCATGTTTCCAGATTCCAGATTCCAGATTCCAGTCCAGAAAGAAAGTTTAAAAGGTTTTAAAGGGGGTCATACAATAGAAAAAATAAAATTGCTCTTTTAAAATAAAAAGTGTTCATTTTATCAAGTACTGTAGACATATTCCAACCAATCATAGATATAATCTATCCTTCATTCCATTCATTCATTCTAACATTAGGCAATAAATCGGCATGATCTTGGCTTAACAACCATATTATCATTTAGTACAATGACAGACTTGTTAACATGCATTTTCAGTTAAATAAAACTTTAAATGCTAAATCAAACTGCTGCTAAAACAATATGGAATAAAAACAATATGTAATTAAAAAACCTCTGAAAGCCAAAGCACAGGCACTAGTACCATTCAAAAGATTAAGTGCTTTTATGCTTTTGAAAGTCTCTTATGCTCATTTATTGATCAAAAACACAATAAAAACAGAAATATTGCAATTTATAATAACTGTTTTCTATTTTAATATATTTTATGCATGCAATTTATTCCTGTGATGAAAAGCTGAATTTTCAGCATCATTACTCCTGTCTTTAGTGTCACATGATCCTTCATAAATCATTTTAATATGCTGATTTGATTATTATCAATATTAAAAAAAATATTTGGAAACAGTAATCCATTTTTTCAGGATTTTTTTTTTTATTAATAGAAAGTTTAAAAGAACTGTATTTAAAATAGAAATCTTTTTAGCCTCTGAATATTACAAATGTCTTTACTGTCATTTTTGGTAAATTTAACGCAATTAAATTGCAAATAATTGTGAATTTTCTATGCATTTTCAGTTAAATAAAACTTTAAATGCTAAATCAAACTGCTGCTAAAACAATATGGAATAAAAACAATATGTAATTAAAAAACCTCTGAAAGCCAAAGCACAGGCACTAGTACCATTCAAAAGATTAAGTCTGTATTTTTTTATGCTTTTGAAAGTCTCTTATGCTCATTTATTGATCAAAAACACAATAAAAACAGAAATATTGCAATTTATAATAACTGTTTTCTATTTTAATATATTTTATGCATGCAATTTATTCCTGTGATGAAAAGCTGAATTTTCAGCATCATTACTCCTGTCTTTAGTGTCACATGATCCTTCATAAATCATTTTAATATGCTGATTTGATTATTATCAATATTAAAAAAAATATTTGGAAACAGTAATCCATTTTTTCAGGATTTTTTTTTTTATTAATAGAAAGTTTAAAAGAACTGTATTTAAAATAGAAATCTTTTTAGCCTCTGAATATTACAAATGTCTTTACTGTCATTTTTGGTAAATTTAACGCAATTAAATTGCAAATAATTGTGAATTTTCTTCTACAATTCTGAGAAAAAATAACTGAATTGTGAGATGATAACTCAAAATTAAACTCGCAGTTCTGAAGTCTAATTGTGAGATAAGAACAATTTTCTTTATGTATGCATGTATGTATGTATATGGAACTATATGTATGTATGTATATGGTGACCCCAAACCTTTCTACAGTATTATATAATGGCCTTCTCATTATTCAGCAACTTGGCCAATCACAACAGAGATCATGTACATATAGAAACAAAGTCTTAAAAGTACAGCAACAAAAACAACATTTACTTTTAAATCTAACAGATAGGGTGGTCAGTGCCTTTTAAGTTTAAACTCCTTTATTTGTCTTAATACAGAAATGCATTCCTGATGCACATGGACAGGCAGCACATGAAGTCAACAGATTTAGGAAGTGTCTCTGAGTCACGACTATATCCGACTATGAGTCTAACAAGACCGCAGATCTAGACGGACTGCATGTAAGCTGACTAAGCGAGCCGCTCTTGACATCATGCCTCACGTCTGCGGATGTGCATTTGGCCCGGCTCATTATCAGCTGTGACCAGAAAATAACTGTCCTCTATAAACTCCTCTAGTGCTCGTGCCAGACGATCTGTACCGTCACAGAGAAGAGGGATTAGAGGGAAACAGACAGCAGGATGAGGGGGGAAAGAAAAACGAGGGATGATGTCTTCACTGTGAAATGCACGGGATGTTTAGCAAGGTTTCTAAACATCGTCATTAGTAGGAATGTCTTCTAGCAGACCACAGTAGACTTTGGAAATAGATGACTGTGTTTTAGTCTTATGCCATTTATTAAATGTTACATTAAATGTTTCATGTTGACTGTTCATTCAGTTATAGATAAGAATATCTTACAACAACTTTGTGGGTCTTTGATTCTTCATAGTACTGTGCGTCTGTGTTCCTGTTCCCCTTTCTCTGACCTCACATGGAAAGTATATAAAAATACGATGCCATGCTGCAGACTAAAGCTCTGTTTGTCACCTGCTGTTCTTGTTCATGCATCGAGTTCTGAATGCGCTGTGAAAATAGGCTGTGTGGATTATGCACAGCGAGCAGATGATTAGACCATGATTGCAGCCAGTTTTTTCCCTGTGTTTCACATGAAGCCCCACTGAGAGCTTCCATAAGGCTGTGATAGGCTGTGTATATGGCTGTGTCTGTGTTATCATTGGAACCGGGCTAATTTTAGACGCCACCCTTTTCCTCTTCTACCTGCTAGTGTTTTCTGTGATGATGGGCAGTGCTACAGAGTAATAAATGTAAATATATATAAATGTATGTTTTTATTCAATTGTTTATTATATATTATATTATATAGATTAGGGCTGTCAAATCGATTAATCACATCCAAAATATTGTGTTATTGTGTGAACTGTTTATTTTTATATGTATATATAAATACACACACATACACATATATATTTAAGACATATTTACATTTCTATTTATATTATACATAAATATAAATATATATTACACTCTAAAAAATGCTGGGTTAAATACAACCCAGCGCTGGGTAAAATATGGACAAACCCAGCGATTGGGTTAAACATGTAACCCAGCTGTTGGTTGAAAACAACCCAAACGCTGGGTTTGTCATATTTAACCTAGCATTTTTTAGAGTGTACATATATTTCTTGGATGTGATATATATATAGCACATATAAGCACATTTCCCTATAATTCTCATCGCAATGCAATAACATTTCATTCTCATTCAAACCATTTTTAAATGTTATATATATATATATATATATTCCTATAATGTCCCTTTAATTCTCATGATCATAATGCACTAAAATATCATTCTCATTATTCTGAGAAAAAAA